AGTGAGCCAAATCTTGAAAGACAGTAGGTTGGGAAAATGCCAGTGAGATAAGGCATAGGAGGTGGGTGGAGGGGAGTTGATATGGCAAGACATTCTAGGTTCTTGGGAAGAATTAATGAACTATAGATAGAAAACAATAAAAGCATATGGGTGAGGAGTGAAGCAGTTTGGCTGCAATACTAGCATACTTGGAGAATAAGGCAAGAATTTAGGTTGGGAAATTTTTTGAAGGCCCTTGAAAGTCTAATTATGGAGCTTCAAAATATCGGATGAGGAGGTATGTTTGAATCTTCAGTCAAATACTTGTAAGCATAGACAACATGAACAAGTTATTTCTCTGAGCATCGGTTTCTTCATCCATGTTTTTGTTTTGTTTTGTTTTGTTTTTTTCGCGGTACGCGGGCCTCTCAATGCTGTGGCCTCTCCCGTTGCTCCGGACGCGCAGGCTCAGCGGCCGTAGCTCACGAGCCCAGCCACCCCGCGGCATGTGGGATCCTCCTGGACCGGGGCACGAACCCGTGTCCCTTGTATCGGCAGGCAGACTCTCAACCACTGCGCCGTCAGGGAAGCCCGTTTCCTCATCTATGAGATGGGGATTATTGTTAAGGTTGAGAGATAATGTATATTAAAATCATTGTCAGTGGTAAAATGCTCTGCAAATATTATGCAAGTTGCTTTTAATCTGCCTAAAACTCAGTAGTTCCAAGCTACTTATAGGATCATTATAAGATCAAAATATTTCTTCGGAAATATTCTTTGAGGCATGGAATACATGGAGAGAAACAAGTCTGGGAGAATCTATTAAGAGATTGCCACGGTGAGCTAGGTTTATGATATGGTCATTCGAAATGGGGGATATAAGGAGAGGAAATCCAGGAAGATATTAAGGAACAATGCAGGGGATTTGGAGTTAATAAAGCATCAAAGAGGACTTGAAGTTTTATCACCATGAGAATGGAAGTACATTAGCAAAAATTGAGGAAGAAGCATCTGGTTTTATAGATCCTGATATATTTATTAAAACCTGAGTAATTATATGATGGTAGATTCCAATATATTATTTAAGAAAATTCTGGTTTAGAGAATAAAAATCAAAGTCTTAGCCAACTGAATCGAATTACTTTGGAAGTAGATGGGTACAAGTGAGGAAAAAAAAGGCTCTTCACCTACATCATCTTTTAAAATCCCCACAACAACCCAAAAGCATAGTTTCTATACCTATTTTGTAGATGAGGAAACTGAGTTCAGAAAGGTCAAATAACGTTCATAAGTTAAGTGCCAGCAGAGTGTGGTGAAGAGGCAGGGGGCTGCTCAAAGATAGCACCCTTTACAGGTACCTCTGAAGGTGCTTCCTTGGCATAACCTACCTGGAGTGTGAAAGGTCTGGACATTCATTTTTATAGAGTATCGACAGGAAGCTGCACAGAAAAAAAAAAAAAAAGACCTATCCAACAAATTAATAAAGAAGAGGTAACAACCAGATTGTTGTCCTGCCTCACTGGCCAAGAGATCTCAGATAATTCCCTGAACCCAGTGGACTGCAACCCACAGAAGATGCATTTTTACTTTATGACCCCGTGTACACACATGCGGGCACATTTCATATACACTACTTTGGATGATATACTCAGATATTTGTTATAATAGCTCAATCTGTTCTCTTTATGTTATTACATCTGGGACCTATAAAATTGATTTAGTTGGTAGTGATCTCACAGTTCTTCATTTGAATAAAAAAAGCCACTTGACACACTACTCTGGATAAGAAAAGAGTGTAATTTTCCAAAGTGTGCTCTGTGGGTGTCTCCGTTGATTTCTGGTGGCTTGGGAGGTTCTGTACCATACTCTTTCCAAAGAAATCATTCAAATTAATGTATTAAAGGCTTTCAGTTCCTGCAGTTAAGAAGCTTTTTTATTCCAAATGTATTTGACCACAAAGCTCTATTCATCACATACCTATTTAGATAAGCATTTAGGGAAATGTGAGGAAAAATATGTGATCCTATTTTAAAAACTATAAAACTATAAGCATTATTGTCATTACTGACAGATAATGATATTGTCTGAGCAAATATTTCAGGTCGTAAGCTTTTCTTAGGATCTGATTGCGAATGTCCCTTGGATCATCTTGGGGCTGGTGAGACAGGGCTCCTTCTATCTCAACTGTCTCTCCACCAAGCACAGTATTACAAGATTGCTTACAGGGTCTGAAACACTTGAGACATTTTTTTTATATAAATTTATTTATTTTACTTATTTATTTTTGGCTGCATTGGGTCTTCATTGCTGCACTCGGGCTTTCTCTAGTTGCTGGGAGTGGGGGCTACTCTGTTGTGGAACACGGGCTCTAGGCACGCGGGCTTCAGTAGTTGTGGCACGCGGGCTTAGTAGTTGTGGCTCTCGGGCTCTAGAGCGCAGGCTCAGTAGTTGTGGCACACAGGCTTAGTTGCTCTGCCTCACGTGGGATCTTCCTGGACGAGGGATTGAACCTGTGTCCCCTGCATTGGCAGACGGATTCTTAACCACTGCACCACCAGAGAAGCCCTGAAACACTTGAGGCATTTAATTTCAGAATCTCACTGGCAGCTGAAAGGTTTGGAAGTTATTTTGCTTAAAAGAACCATATGTCACATGAGCAATATACCACGGTTTTGGAAGAAATACCATTTGTGTCACTTCTGTTGGCAAATATTCCTCAGTGCTGAGAAGGCAAACTGTCAAACTGTATAAAAGTCTGATTGTCAAAATAAAAGCCAAAGAAGACATAACAAAAGAGTATGATTTTTTTTAATTAACTTAATTAAATAGGTAATTGAGCAATTAAATTCTGCAGTCAATCAGATGAAGAGCATTTCTGTTGCATGACCTACTCCAGACACTAAGGAAGAATGCCTGTCTGCTGAATCTCAGAGACTCAAGAACCACTTGAGTGCCTAACTGCAAATCCACCCTCCCATCAGCTTACAGAGCAATTAGTTCATAGCCCACAGGGACTCCCTGTTATCCTCAGGATCAAGGAAGTCACACCAAGCCTTCCTGGGGACAGCCCCTGCTTATTTCTCTGTCTTCACTTCTTACCCCTCCTTCTCTCCTACTAAGTGCTTCAAACCACCAAACTGAACTGTTTTGAGTTTCTTGCACCCACCATACCCATACAAATTCATGGAATGCCTTCCTCGCGCTCTTACATAGCACCTTAAGGCTCACCTCTGGCTTAACCTTCTTCTGGAAACTCTCCTAGGATTTTTTGCTCTCATCCCTATGCATCTTGCTCTTATTTTCTATGTTCCCATATATCAAGGTTCTTATCTTTATCACTGAATTTAGTTGTTTGCATCATCTGTTTGCCATGGCTCTACCTCCACCAGATTGTGAGTTTCCTTGAAGATGAGGACTATGTCTTGTCCATTTTGGGCCTCCTGTGGTAACAGCACATAACAGATGCTTAATAAATGTTCGAATGAAAAATACAGTAAGATCCAGGATGCTATATTGTCTCCAGTTGTGTGCTAGATGGTGCCAAAGACATTTTTTTTTTTTTTTTTTTTTTTTTTTTGCGATACACAGGCCTCTCACTGTTGTGGCCTCTCCCGTTGCGGAGCACAGGCTCCGGACGCGCAGGCTCAGTGGCCATGGCTCACAGGCCCAGCCGCTCCGCGGCATGTGGGATCTTCCCAGACCGGGGCACGAACCCGTGTCCCCTGCATCGGCAGGCGGACTCTCAACCACTGCGCCAACAGGGAAGCCCCCAAAGACATTTTTGATATTCAGATATTTAAGAACACTTATACGTTGGGTACTGCACAAGGAACCAAAAGATAAAAGATATAACTAAAAGATATAATGAAGAAAGCAGAACTGCATTTTTGGAGTTAATATATTAAGACTTTATAATATTCTGGGACAGGAGCTGTGCTAGAAATATTATCCAAGTACTTTGAAATTCAGTGTGAGATTGAATAATTCTGCCAGACAGAATTAAGGCTTTACACACAACTGATAATCTGATTTAACTGATTGGCAATAAATTACAGACTTTTAAGATATGAGGCTGGCTTTGAGTCCATTTATCAACGTGATTTTGAGCAAGCTATTAAGCTCTCTGAGCTTCAGGGTTCTTATCTGTAAAAGGGGCTAAAAATCATTCCTAACTCATAGGGTTGCCATGAATAGTAAATGAGATAATACACACTTGATACAATGCCTGATATCCAATAAGTGCTCAATCACTGGTAACTATTATTTTAATGCTGAAGGATACATTATAATGAGCAATCTGAAAAGGGGAGGGGGCCAACTCTATAGAGTTAGATGGGTCAGTATTAACAGAAGTGTAGGACTGGAAAACAAATGGTTTGTTCAGGATGAAGTGACAATAAATGAAATCAATTAAATTATCTGGCAACCAAAAACATTGCCATTTAAAGGACATCTAACATGGTCCCATGGAAATGATGTTGGAATTCAAGAGTAAGGAGACCCATCTCCTAGTTTAAGTTCCACTACTATATAACTCCCATTTAGACCTGCTGAAACTCAACTTCTTCATCTGTAGTCAAAGGATATTGGTGGCTGCCCTCCCATACCCATGGTAAATATTAGTAATAAACTTTTCTTTTCCATCAAGCTGAGATGGAGGCTTAGTATCCTCAGTTTTCCTAGCACTATTTTCAAATGACTAAGTTGGCTCAGGTAAAACCAATTTGCAATCTCTGGACTAGGTGGTTTTTTATGTTCTTTTGAGCTGTGCTAAATAATTCTAGAATTTTTCAGGTAATTAAAAATTGTTATATCGTACTAGACTGTGTTAACATGAATTTTTTATTGCTTTAGAGATTGATGCTCAAATCTAAATCATATGTAGACCTTATGTTAAGGTCTAATAAGATAATAATTAGATATGCATTTGTCATAAAGTTACCGTACTTTCAATTAATGTTGTAAAGGTTATTCATGCATGTTCAAAATTTAACCTGATTTGGGGTTTCATTTAATTTCAGATCTGAAAATTCATCTCCAGACCACTGATTATGGCAACTTCTTGGCTAACCAAACAAATCCTCTTACTGTTTCCATTATTGACACAGAGATGAGAAAAAAGCTATGCAGAGAATTTGAGTATTTCCGGAATCATTCCCTGGAGCCCCTGAGCACCTTTTTCACATACATGACGTAAGTGATAGCAGGAGGCCCTACTCCTCCCCAGTGTGATTGTGCAAACAACCCCGAACAGTTAACAGGTGGGGTGTTAGGCTGACATGAGGCTTAAGACCTCTTCTACTGTTTGAAAGTTTGAATACATTCAAATTTGAGCAACTGATAAGCTCACAGAGCTGCATTTTCACTGTTAGAATATAGATTTCATTTATTTATAAACATGATTAGATAGGTGGCGATGGCCTCCGTGTAAAGCAGTGTTTTCAGTTTTCATTTTAAAAAATAAGTACTGCTGATGCGTGAAGGTAGATATGCGACATTTTCAGATCACTTGTCAGGGTGGGGTTGAAATATCACAAATCGTTCTTAAAGCCACACCTACCCTTTCCTGATTCCTCTTCAACAGCATAAGGAGTTCCCATCACAGTTATATGTGTTTTATTTTTAATCCCTCTCCATCACCAGTGGTTCCAATCTTTCAGTGTGAAGGCCCTTCTTTTTAAAAAATGTTTGAACTTCTACACAATAGCAAATTGTATTTCTTAATCCAGTGAATAGATTATATCCAGCGCTCAAAACTTTGGGCCTCTCTAGTTGCCTTAGCTGACAAACTGGGAACAAACGCCCGCAATGGATGAGCTGTTTATCATGTATATACAATTTAGATGTAATATACAAAGTTATGATTACTAGATCCAGGGCCTTGACTGGTTGAGAAAGGCATAAAATAAAAATATCCCTTTATTCCACATGTCCCCTCCTTCCCCACTCAGTTCCATTCCCTAAAAGTAGGTACTTCTCAGTTTCTTATTATTTTTCTAAAAAAAAATGTACATTGTGTATGTATATTGATGCACATTCAACCCACCCTACCCCCACATTTTCAATTTATACAAACGGAATCAGTTTTTTCCCACTTAATATTTGTTAGAAATATCCTCATCAATGTCATACTTTTTAAAATAACTGCGTAGAAGTCCGTGTTTTGTACATATCATGACTCCATTTATCAGGCATTTATTAACAACTAACTAACTTTTTTTTAATTACAAAATGTTTTGCAGCTAGCTTATTACTGTGTAGGTCTTGAATTTATTTCTAAGCTAAATTTCTAGCAGTGTGAGTAGTGAATCAAAGGAATGCCCCGTTCTTTTTTGTTTTGTTTTGTTTTTTTGTTTTTTTAACAGGAATGCCCCGTTTTTATCTTAACAAAATTTGCTAAGTTGAACCATCCCAACAGCGCATGAGAAGGCCTGCAGCCCTAACCATTACCAACATCACATACTACCTTCTTAAGTTTTGCCCTTCCAATAGGTTAAAAACTGTATCTCTGCTTTAATTTATATATTTTTATTAGCAAAAGGGAACATCTTTTCATACTTAACTAGTCATGTGTATTTGCTACCCAATCAAGTACTTTTATTTGCTACGTGACCAAATACTTTGTCTATTTTTATTGAGGTATTCAGCATTTTTTGTTTATATATAAAAGCTCTTTTTAAATTAAGAAAGTTAACCTTTCATCATATGGGTTGAAAATTTATTTTCTCAGTTTGATATAATATATTTTTATTTTTATATTGTTTGTTTGCTGTAGGAACATTGAAAAATTTTAATTAGCTATTCGGCAGTCTTTTCATTGTACAATCTTTTGATTATTGTGTCCTGCTTAGAAAGGCCTTCTCCACTCTAACTCATCAATAAACTCACCTGTCTTTTCTTCCATTTTTTTGCTGTTGTTGTTGATGTTTCATTTTTTACATTTAAAACTTTGATTCATCTAAAATTTATTTTGGTGTAAGGAATGAGACTAGAGATCCAGCTTAAATTGTTCTTCACACATAGTGATCCAGTTGTTCTGTACCATTTCCGTAAATAAGCAAGTAGAAGAAATGATCATAATTCCAGGCAGGAAGTAACAACTGATGTCCCTGAGACATGTTGTTAGTGCCTGTGTTCCTTGTTTGTGCAGTCAATCCTCCTATCAGCACTGTAGTATAGAATCTTATTTATAGGCAAGACACAGATGCTGACATTTTTAAAGACTCCACCAGTATACAACTAGTCAGGGATGAAGATTAGATATGAACTTGGGTCTGACTCAGTCTAAAGCCCAAGCACTTTTTTTGAGAATTCTGGAAGGCCCGACATTGTTGCCAAGCCTGGAAATGGAGTAGAATTTGGAGATTCGGGAGAAGGCTGAACATCTGGGGTTGATGCATGAAGAGGGAAGGATTCTGCCTGCATGAGGAATAACTGGTCAGTTTGGGCTGGAGCAGGCTGTGCAAAAAAGGAAGGAGAGAAATGGGGAAGAGAGGCTAGAGAAGTAAATTCCAACCAGATAATGGAGTCTTCAGTGGCCAGGCTAATGAAGCTGGCCTTTATCACATCAGAGTATTTTTCGTGTGTGTGTGTTTTGTTGGTATCTGCAAGACCTTTCTTTAAAAATAAAATCTTTAGCAGAAACCCCAAATGTAGGAGAGACAAAAGAAAAGGCCAGGTTTGTTCCCAAGATTTATTCCTCTCCATAACATTTGGGGTGAAATAGAATGCACTTGAGCTTTGGACTGAGTCAGGTCCGAGTTTATATCTAATCTTGAATGGCTGCCTGTGAGAGAGAATTTGCAAGCAGGGAAGCCTCCTGCAAAAATGTCTGGCATGGGTAATTATGAAGACATTAAAGATTCCTGAGCTTTAAGACAACATGGCCATAGTTATGTAACAGTAAAAATGATAATCCAAATGCTAGACACCATTTATGAACTATTTCTATATGCCAAGGCTCTGCTAAGTGCTTTACAAATATTGTCTCATTTAACCCTCATGACAAGTCTTATTCAGTTCTGATCATCACCATTTTAAGGATGAGGAAACGAAAACTTAAGTGCAATAACTTGCCTAAGTCACAGATCTAAAAAGTGGAGGAGTCATGATTTGAAATAAATGTTAGCAGTAGGCTTTGTAAAATTATTTTGCTCAGATTTTAGATGAGTTCGGAAAATCTGACCTGTGATGACAGGGGACAGTCCAATTTTAACTGAATGAGAAAGCTGCCAGGCTTTGTACTTTTTAGGTTGCAAGACGATCTCACATGATGAAAATTTTCCCCAAATCTGTGAAGAGATGCTCCAGCTCTAAGAATAACTCTGAATCATTTGGTCAGTGGTTCCTCTTACGTGATGATTCCATGATTTATTGCTTCCTAATTATAGAATCTTAAACCTGGAAGGAGCCTTAGCATTAATTAGCCTTCTTATTTCACAACAAACTACCATGTCAATCTAGTTAAAATATACTCTGTTTCTAAAAACAATTACTTAAAATTCCAAATATTTCTAGTCATTAGCGATGTTCAAAAACTGTATATAAGAATTCAGACAGTCACAAATACCTGGGTAGAATGTTAATAAAAAGTAAGATGTGGAAATGTAGTTTTGGTAGAATCAGTATTGTTAGTAATGGACATGTTTTAATTTATCTTCTGCCTCTCTCTGTCTCTCTGTCTCTCTCTCTCTCAGCTGTAAACTCTTTGAATTAGTTCTTTTAGTATCTCTATCTGGACTTACAAGTATATAATGGGCACTGAATATTTGCTGAATCAATATATAATCCTGTATTTAGCAGTATCTTACACATACATATAGAAACATACTTTCAGACAGTTCAGGATTTTATATTTTATATAGTACTTGAGAATTGGTTATTTACCGGCCAGTATGTTAGGGGTAAAAACCAAATGTCATGCCTGCAGGTACATTTTGTGTGACCAGGTCAGTCTTTACAGTAATTTTTTAAAATATATTTAATTAAGGCTTTATCCAATTAGCCACAGTTGCCAGCACTCCCTTTGGTCTTATGATCTTCAGGTATTTAGGTTACTTATCAGACATCTGACCTAGATGTTTTACCTACATCTCTACACAAAGAAGTGTTTATATCTCCAGTTTTCAAACTAGAGAAACTGAGGCCCAACATATTAATGTATATTTCAAGATCACAACATTATTAAGAGATTTGATTTCAGGTCCATCATTCTAGAAAACTAATGATCTTGTACTGGCCCAATAGTTTATAAAAAGGCAAGTAAATCAGAAATATCTGTGGGCCTTTAAACAATAAGTATATTTCTGATCCCTATCCCAGGAGATTCTGATCCAGTTGGCCTTGGAGTGGGGCCCACCTGTATTTTGGAAGGCATGCAGGTTATTTTGATGTGCACCCCTAATTAAAAATGTCCCATTATGGTGCCTCAACTTTATGACTTGGAAGTCACTTTCACAATTATTCTTATGAGTTTTTCACCACAGTTAATTACATGGATAGGATTATCTCCTTGTCAGAGACCAGAGAGCTCAACTGCACTGAAACCTAGGTCTTCTGAATCTCAATCCGTGGTTTGTTCCACCATGTCGTGTGACTTGCCAACACTGGCAGCATCCAGCTGTGCTCTGTAGAACCTAAAGATGTGTCACCATAACAAAAGGTAACAAAGGTATGTGTGCAGGACAGTTGTCCAATAGTTCTGAAACTATTTTTCTTTTAGAACATGTTGCAAAGTCAAGTGTCTGTCTAGTGCCTGTGAACTCCCATCAAATAGGATTACTTCCTGCCCTTTTAGGAAATGCCCAGGGCATCATTATGAAAATGATTAAGTCAAGCCTAATAGAGATGGTCTAAATTTAAGGTGGTATGATAAATATAATCTAAGCATTGCACATGTGTGTGATATAATTACTGTATATGTAAAACTTGTTTTGAAAATCTGGAATGGATATTTTTGAATGCCTAATAGCAGGAAGATCTGGAGGTTTTATGTACTATAATTATACACAGTGGTATGAAACAAAGGAATGAATTCAATAGCATTTTAATGAAGAGACTATGTAATGTAGGCTTGGATTGTTTTATTTTTCTTCCCTCCTACTCAACACTTTCCAGCAGCATTTCAATTTCTCCTATCTTTTGAGATTAGCCATCTGACTAGAATAACATTTTAATATTCAAAATACTAATTT